GTCTAATCTGCTTATTGACAAAAAGACAAAAACAAAAAACAAAAAACAACAACAACAAAAAACACCCAGAAAGGGAGTAAATGGATGACTGCTATTGATCCCCATGATAGCTCTACACAGACCCAGTAACTTCACTGGATTAGTATAGACAGAAGCCAATTAGTTTTATTTCATATGTAAATAGAGCACAAAGAGGTACAAAAAATAATTCATTGGATTGCTTTATCCTAAAGCAGAAGGCACACATTTTGAAAGTCACTTCAAACACAGTTCTTGCTTATGGAGCTCTCTCTTTCTCTTAGGCAGGAATTTTTAAAATAAATTCAAACTCATCCAGCTGTGTATATTCAAGAAATACCAAAAAGTCACAAGGCATAGGAAGTTTCAGCTGTTCTCCTCTCTCCAGTGTTATCAATAACACATAATGAGTTAGTTCCTATATCATCACAGCTGTGCAGGCCAGAGCTAACTTGGCTAATTTAACTATTCCAGTATAGTTCAGTCAGGAGCTTGCTCTACTTTATAGATAATCCACTCTGCAAGTCAAACAGAAAATAGCAGCATATGCTCTATGTTATCATTAATAACACTTCTCCCTGTCTTCTTTCACAAAGTTCCTGTGAAGGCATCTAATGGTATTGTCTCTTGGACAGATTAAAAAAAAAAAAAAAATCAACAACCTTCTAAGAGCAATTAACAATCAAAATAACTCCAAAGTAAGACTGTAACACCATTCCAGGCTTAAACCATAACCTAGTAAAACTCCCTCTCATATCGATAAGCTTTAATTCCCGAAGAGGAGAAAAAGAACACTGGCCTCTGAGAAAAATTAACCATGGAGTCTAGTTTGTACTTTCTTTTTCACCCTCCCCCTCTTTTAGGAATTCAGGATTAGAAATAATCACTTAACTTGGGACTTATTTTCACCTACAGATTACCTACAAATGAAGTTTGCAGAGTGCCTTTCCTTCATGGGTGGTAATAACTAGAAGACTGTTCTGTATTCTGGCACACTTTAACATGAATGTAATATAAAAAACAGTGGTGATCTCAGTTGCTCAAGAGAAATTTGCACATCCTTCACAATTTCAATTATCTACAACAGTATTCTACACAGTAAAGCTCTTTCAAAACTGCTTAGTCCTGCCATTTAGTATCATTTTCTACTAAGGATGAGTGCCTAAATTGTCAGAGACTATGTTTTCTTAATCGAAAACACAACATTCAATGTTGTTTTCTTAACTGTGTACTTGGAATTTGGAAGTTCTCCAAAGCCCATCCCGTGAGCAAAAGAAGCCTTGGCATCTGAATATGGGGAGTTCATACATACAACTAGTTTCCAGTTGATGTCAGCAATAAACATCTGGAGATATATAAGGGCAGAGTGAGAAAGAACAGTGGGATTGTATCATACTTTGGGATAAAGACAAAATTGCAAAGAATAATTAAAATTATTTCATTACAACGAACCAAATAAGCATTTACTATTGAAATCCTTTTTTTTTTTTTTTTTTAAGGTTTTTAGTACCCAGGGATCTTAAATAAAGAGTTGGAAGAGACCTGTGAACTCACATAGCTCGTAGCTCAACTTCCTAATTTCATTCTTGGGAGCGAAATGAATATTGCACATCTAATTTGGATTAATTTAGATGTTAAACCCAATACATTTGCAAAACAAAGGATTTTATCTGTACGGTTTGAAACTATGAACTTCTGTCTCTGCTAGAGACCCAGAACTATGAACTTTCCCCAAGCTCCATACAGTCAAGTAACAGGGATATGGTATATAATGATTTTCCAAGTCATATAAACTGTTGAAAACAAATGGGATAAACAATTGCCATTCGTTATTTCTGAATCCAAAGACTGCTGGGCCAGACTTGGGCATATACACAGCTGAACACACACTTCCTGGTTATGTGCAATCAGTACAGATAGACCAGCTTTACAGGCCTGACCACAGAGATTAATAGCTTTAGCCAAATAATGTGGTAACCATGTGAACCTGGGCTGCTCCAGCTTGTTTGTGAATCTCTCAGCAAGGCTCAACATGCCGTTATCTGCATCTTGTTGCCAGGAAACACAACATCGCTTTGGAATACAAGGAAAACCAGGTTGCAATGACCACAGGTCAACTTCCCAAAAGCCTAATTTTTGACACTTAGCTATCTACAATCTTGTATTTCTTACTGTTGTCTATGAGAACTTCACTTTACTAATAATTAACTGTTAATACCTTTTGCTATTTTTATCAGAGCAGGACCACTACCATTAACAATGTAGCAGCAGCATTAGTAATTACAATAATTGACTCATACTTTTCCTCTCAAGTATCAAATGAACATTAATTTCATTAAAACAGATTTGAAAATCAAGCACTCACTCCAACTACTTTATTACTGATCCAACAATGTACACTTATAGGCCTATATCCAGGTCTAATTCTTTAGCTAAGTAATTTTACTAAAGAATAAAATACCCAATATGCTGCTGACCTAAGAGTTCTTTTGAGATCGAAATACCTGTCTTGCCTTGCTCATGGCAACAGAACATAACGTGTTGGACAATAATCCTGCTAGTTTCTTCCAGACCAATTCAGAAAGTAACTTTATGTACCAAGATGCTGAAGTACTCAGCGGACTGGAAATTTGCTTCCAAAGAGTGAAGTGGGAGGCCACTATTCTGCAGTTTTGCAATCTGGAGATGGAAGGATTACAGTGGCTTTGAGAGTATATATAAAATTAATTACCCTGACATACCAACTAGAATTGCTAGCTCATGAGCAACACAGATTTTGGACAATACCTTATTTAAAAGATTTTTGAGATAAAATGAAAAACATCTTTATCTCCTCCAATGCTTGCTTAAAAAAAAAAAAAATTAAAAGTACTTAGCTTTATTACAGGACGTTAAGAATTTTGCTACCCAAGTAAGACAGAATCTTGACTATCTGATATTATCAAAATAATACGTTAATGATTAGAAAGCTACATTTTAAAATAAGATTTATTCATTCATTTATTTACTTACTTACTGGGGGGCAGGGGAGTGAGGAATGGAGAGGGAAAGAGGGAGGAATAGAGACTCTAAAGCGGATTCCACACTGAGTACAGAGCCCAATGTGCGGGCTCCATCCCACAACCATGAGAGTTTGACCTAAGCTGAAACCAAGAGTTGGATCCTTAACCAACTGAGCTACCCATGATTTAAACTACATTCTTGATATTATCTTACTTTTATCTCAATGGCTCCTATATAATAATGCCTTAAACTTGGATCTTATAATGTCTCTTATCTTATTCCATGCATCCCTTTTGAAACACAAGATGCAAAGTTCTAGTCTCATGATAATTAAGTTGCTAAAGAGACACACAGATCTGTGTACTATACAACCGAAATAATGCAATATTAAGAGAAAACCACTTAATATTAAAAGGGAGCAAGTTTAAAAAATAAAACAAAAAGCTGGTTTCTACAATGTGAACAATGCCCAGGCACTACGTTGAACACGGGTTAACATCAAGACTAACAAAATAAACAACTTAGAAATGGTTTCTAATCAAATGACACCATTTGATTCCTGACTCTCCAGACACCTGGGTTAGTGTAACTCAAGTTATCTGTGAACAATGACAAAGATGACTCTGAAGAAAGTGTTTTTCTTGGGGGCATCTGGATGGTGCAGTCGGTTAAGTGCTCTACTCCTGATTTAGGCTCAGGTCGTGATCGTGAGGTCATGAGTTCCAGACCTTACCTGCTCAGCATGGAGTCTGCTGAAGAGACTCTCTCCCTCTTCCCCCACAACTCCCCCACAACCCCCCCACACCCATAACAGATAAATAAAAGAGGAAAAAAGGGTTTCTCTTGGACTTGCGGATTACGATTCTCAGCGTATTTTTCCTTCCTATGGGTCATGCCTTCCCATACTGCATCAGGCCATTCATCATCATTAGGCCATTCATCATCTGTGAAGTTGTCAGGCTGCCCTCATTGTCTCCCAAGTCAGGTAGCACAGACAGATGTATTCTTCTCCCATCATATAATTTTAACCCTCTCTCTTGGTCACAGACAAATAGCCATTAATATCACATATTTTAACTCCTATACTACAGGGGAAATAACTAGAAACAAAAATTAATGCTTACTATACCGCCATTATTACACTAGCAACTTCACAAGTGGCAATTATCATTTTCCTCTTCATTTTTATGTTCAATTAAATACAAATTGAAATGTGGAAACTTCAATTCCCTATAAATGACTACTGCTTGGGCATCCACACTTAAAAGAAGCAGATTATTTATGTACATGCCTTGCACACAAAAACTTGAGGATAACATTTTTATTTAAATGATAAACATATCTATTAACAAATTTTCCCAATTCATTATTCAGGTCTAAGAAAACAGCCTGAATTGCAGAAAAATTTTATCTGTAAGATAAATAGATTAATAAACTTAACGGTAAAAAGCCTTAAGGAAACTAAAAGAAATTTAACATGTTTGGGCATGATTCAGAAGTTTGGGAAGAGGTTCCCAGAAAAACTGTGCCATTCAAAATGGAAAGAGTGCCATAATAATCTCCAAACAATACTATTTCCCTTTAAAAAACAGAAGCTACTCAATATGCAAATATTTAAAACAGATAAATTTGGTACTCATCATTTATGCTATTTTAAGATTAACCTTAGACTTTCTTTCAAAAGCAAACTCTCTTGTGCAATTAAAACAGTATCTAATGCACAGCATTCAATGTATATGCAACTTCTCAGGCACATACATATTGCACAGGATGACATATGAATTGCTCAAATCATAAAACCTTCATTTTCTGGTTAGGTAAATAGTCTGCATTCAACCAGCATGAAAAATCAGGATAGTATATAGCCAAAAGAATAAAACCTGTCAGATTACTACTGAAAAAAACCACCCTACTAAGCGTTTAGCCTCTTGACCTTCTCTATAGGATTTAACAGCTTTAAAGTAGTTATAAATACATACCCATACTTCATTCTCATTCTATCATTCTCTGGGTTACAGTAAAATCTTTCCAAGTGCTCCTGGGAATCAGTGGATACACTCTGCCATTTTTGAGTAGTTGTCCTCTTGATCTGCCAATGATATGGCAACACCGTGTGGTGCTTCAAACAATCCCTGCCATAAATACAAGTGCCTTGCAAAAAGTCCATGCAAATTTCAATTCCGTTCTCCTGGTGAGTATGGTACTGTAGCTGGTTTACCAGCTCAAACACAAGGTCAAGGGAAGCCTCTTCACTTTTGTCCTGAAAGAGCTCAGTACTCAACTTATCACTGGTGTCCAAAATGTATTGGATTGTAAAACTGTTGTCTTGGAAAACTCCTGGAATGTAATCCATAACTTTGTCTATGCAGTCAGGACTAGCAGGAACATCACTTGAAACTGAATGCAAAAGGTCAGTCTGGAAGTGCCCTGCTGTAGAATCGGCCACCGTCCCACTAAGAGTTTCAGGTGGAAAGCTGTGATCCTGGATTGGAACCACTTGTTCTGGACCATCAGTGGAAGGATGGGCTTCTGGTATTTGCCCCCCAACACTTGTCCCATCAGGAATCAGAACAGACATACTATTTTCTGCTGGTGGACATGATGGACTGATTTCCAGGGGTTTTTTCACAATAGGTTCATGTAAGCTGCTCTCATCTGCACTCTGGTTTCTAGATCTGAAAACACCATCAAGTGAGCCAGATTCTAGCAAAGTATTTAAAATGGGCCTCAAAGACCTCAGGGTTCCAGTTCCCAATCTCTTTTGCTCCTTTTTCTTAAAACAAGTCTTCAATGGAGCGATCTTCTCAGACAGTCTCATTTGGCATGAAAAATCATCAGGAGGAGAGGGAGGCTGCACTACACAGTCTGGCTCAGGTTCAGTGGTTTCCATTTCCATGGTGTGGGTTAGCTCCAATTGTTCCTCAGAGTCTAAAAATCCTACCAGGAAAGGAAAGAAGATGATCATTTACAAGCTGACAACAACTGGTTCCCATTCATTCATCAAAATGTTTTGTTTCAGTCTGTGACTAAGTCCATGAGGTCACTTGTCTTATACCATATTTCATCTTTATGAGTTAATTTTAAATTTTATTGAGAAATTAAGGCTCCAAAGAAGCCAAGGCTATTCAAAAGCCCACAGCAGGTAAAGGTAAACCTTCCAACAGGCTCTTGACATTTATTTGTGGACAATATACAATTGGTAATTCTGCTAGGGTATGAATTTTTACTGTAAGTCTAGAGTGTGGTGGGAGGTGAGGGGTAAAAATAAGTGTGGCTAACGGATGACAACAGGGAAACCACATCTCTGCTTTGTGGTTCTCTTCACAGTTGTTTCTTTATCACCGATCCCAGGAGGTGACAAAACCTGTTTCTTTGTTTAAAAAAAAAAAAAAAAGTTCACCAAATGAAGGATAAACTTCAAAGTTAAATAGTGAGTGAATTTAAAAGCATGAGGATATAGTCAAGAAACAGGGGCTCTCAAAGAAAGCCAGGAGCATGTTGAAGTGTTTCTAAATTCCAATATATTCCCCGAGGATGTTAAGGGTCTACCTTTTACAATTCCCAAAACATTACCACTATTGGAGGAAGAATACCAGTTGCTTGTTTAGCAACAGAAGCTACATCAGCAGCAACCACTATACGCTATCTTAAAAACCAAAACACAACTTCATAATTTAGAAAGGGCCTCCCTATCCTTGTCTTCAGAAAAGTTACATATATGACTTTATCTATTAAAACAAATGAAGGCATGTTATAGAAAAATAATACAAGAATAAAAAACACACACCAAATGTATGTGTTTCCTAATGAACTACTGAGACCAAAAAAAGTGCTGTCTTCAAAGAATCAGAAAACTAAAACCTAAAGTAAAAAGCAAAGAAAACTTTGTAAAATGACCGTGTCTTCTCCACAGCCCAACATTCATTAACCAATTCTGAAAATATTTACTAAGCATTGTACGAGATGGAAGAGCTGGTGATGAGCAATTAATCTTCTCTCTTGGCCAACTGACTAAAAGAATAAGAGATCATTGATGTTAGGGCCCATGACTTCATCAAATACTCCTCCCAAGTGATCAGTACCATGCCTAGCACAATGCACGCGGTGGGTGCTCTATAATATTTTTTAACTGAATCACTGAAGAAAATGCACCTGTTAAATGACTAGTTCTGTTAGCCTTTATAGGTGAACAGAATAATAAAACTGACTACCCAGAATAACAAGTATTAAAGATCTCATTGGAGAGATTCATGAATCTATGTATAGAACATTCATAATGAACAAACTCTGAAATAAACAAAAACACAGTACAGCTAACCCTTGAACTAGGCGGGAGTGGGGACGGTTCAGGGAACTCACCCCTGGAAAAATCTGCTTGTAACTTTTTGCCTCTCGAAAAACTTAACTACTAATAGCCTACTGCCGACCAGAATTAACAGTTGATTAACACGTTTTGTGTTATATGTATTATATACTGTATTCTTACAACAAAGTAAGCTAAAGAAAAGAAAATGTTATTGAGAATATTGCAGGAAAGAGAAAACATGTTCATAGTACTGTACAAAATCCGCATACAGGCGGCCCCGGAAAGTTCAAACCCCTGTTCTTTAATGCTCAACTGTATATAACCAGGTGTTAGTGCACACGGTAAGTACAAAAGAAAAAGGCAGAAAGAGTTCAGTGTGAGCTGGCATTGTTAGGGAAAGCTTCACAAGGAGGGACTTGACATAAGACATAAATCAACTGGAAAGCAGCCAAGCCAGGCGTTATTATTCATCACTTGGTGATCTTGCCTCAAGGCACAATTGGCACAGATTGTGGTATTCCCTCTCCAACCACACTAAACCCGCTTGTGTCTTCCCTGGCGTGTGTGTGTGCGCACGCGCGCGCGCACACACACACGCTATTCCTATCACCTCCAATCAAGGGAAAAGAGACACTGGACCAATTTCATTTATAGAGGTATATACACACACACATACACACACACTATAACTTTTCCTGTTATTGCCCTCCGTCAGGCTCGGAAAGAAAGCAGAGAACAGAGGAGTGGCTGGAGTGGGGAAGTCACTAGAACCTAGTTCCTCAATTAGTTTGCATAACAGAAAAATAAAGATTGGAAGGACACTTCCTCCGGTCCCCCGCTGCAGGCGACCTACCGCTCCACCCCTCGCCTCGTGATGTCCCCCGTCCTCCGGGACTCCCGGCCCCTGGCACCGAGCGCGGAAACCACGCTCTGCAAACTCAGGACTCCTCGTCGACCAGCCGCGACGCGACTCCGGGACGCCGAGCCCGGGTCCGAGAGACGCCTCCTGCCGGCCGCGGCGGTTTTCGCAGCTCCGCGCCCCCGCCCCGAGCCGGGCCAACTCCGCGCAGCGCAGCTGAGGCGCCGCCCAGCTCTGCCAATTCCCGGCGTTCCGGAGCATCCCACCCCCTCAATGCCCCTCCGCAGGCACCAGAGCACCCCCGAACCCTCGCTGCAGCCTGGTCCCTACGAGCGCCCCCCGCCCCCGCCCAGGCTTCCCTCCATCTCAGAAGCCCCTCACGGCGCCTTCCACAGTTAATTTCTTCCTCGCCTCCTCAACCGACCTTCCCGAGAGGATCGTCCTGCCAGTCTCGGAGGTTCGCAGAAATGAGCCGAGAGGTGCAAGGGGAAATGCGCCTCTCGGGGTGGCGGCGAGGAAACAGGCGAACACTTATGCGCCTTCAAAGTTGATCTGAAAACAGCCTGCAAACTTCTGGGCTGCAGCCGGAACGCGGGTCTGCCGGAAGGCTCCCCTCAGCTGCCGTGCCCGGACCCTGGATCTGCGAACTGCTCCTCCGCCTCAGAGCGCTCGGGGTTCGCCCGGCGGGGGAGGCCGCATAGACGCGCCCCCCGCGCCCACCCAGACCAAGTGGGAACCCGGAGACGCCGGCGACCGCGACTAAACCCTTCGGTGTCTCCCTCCGATTTATACACCTGCCCGAGGCCCTAAGTGATTAATAAGTGTTAAGCCAATCCCACCCCGATACTGACTGGATCCGAATGAATTCGGCAGTAAAAAAACGCACAGTCTAAATATCAATCACCCTAGATCCCCGAAAGGCTGCGAGGCCGGCGCCACCGTCCGCGCCCGCCATCCCAGCTAGGGTCTCTCGCCCTCCCCTCAGAGCCCACCCGGAGCCCTTCACCTGATCGAGCAGCCTGAGAGAAGCGACCACAGGAGCCGAGTCGCCGCCGCACCGCCGGCTCGCTGGCAGCGTCCGCGCGGGAGGATTGGCGCGGAGAGCGGGCTTGGGCGTCTAAGGGTCGCAGGCCGGAGACGCGACGAGCAGCGCACGGGCCATTCCGCCGCCGGGAGTGCAGAAAGCCGCGACCGCACTGCCGAACCAGCTCTCTCGCCTGTCACCGGGAGCTCTGCTTTAAAGTGGCTTCCGGTCGCCTCCTCTCGGCTGTCCCGTCGCGGAGGCGGAGCCTGAGCAGCGGGGGAAGAGGGGTGGGGTGAGAGGGCCGGGCGCTCAGTGGGTGCCGCGCAGGAGGCCCGCCCCACGTGCGCGTGCGCGCTCGCTTGCAGGGAGGCGCGCGAAGTGTGCGTGCGATGGCCGCGTGTTCCCGCGAGGGGGCGTGTCCTTCCGCGCGCCGGCTGGGTACCGGCGAGTTCAGGTCTGCGCGCGTTGCGGAGCGCGCGGCTGTGAGGAGGGGAAGTGTGGGCCGCGTGGAGCAGGCCCTACCTGCCCGCAGACACACGGAGGGTCACTGTGTTCCGAGGAAACCCAGGCACCCGAGAGAGGATGTGAGACGGAACGAGCCGTTTCTGTGCGGTTGGCTTTATTTGTCTCCTCACAAAACGCCTCCTGCCCTTGACGCCGCGGGACCCCGACAGGAGGCAAATGGCTGCTACAGCCCCTGTGGCCAGACGGGGTCGCCCGCCCCAAGCCTGACGGGTGGCCCAGCCGCGCACCCGAGTCGGCAGCCTGTCCGGCGCGGTCGCCAGCGCGCCTGTTTCAGGGGGAACGTAGCCTGACAGAAGGGAAACTCGGCTTTGGGGCTTTGACAGTAGAAGCGCGAATCTGTTCTGGAAAGCTCTTAAGTACCGAAATGACTAATTTATTCATTCAACAAATGTTTGTCGAATGTCTGTTCCGTGCCAGGCATGCAACTAGGTTTAGGCTACAGCCCTGATCAACTCGGACGCCATGCCTCTTTTCATGGAACTTGCAGAACACCATCTATTCGTGTTTAAAATATACACCGCGTGTGAATTTGCTATAGTTTCTGGACTATAAAATGCCCTTCCTATATTGAATTTCAGTGACGGAAGTAGAGGCACTACGTTAAATTCATATAACCGCTATATATCCGAGGAGAAAGACCCTCTTGCTCAAAGTTAATTATGGCTATATCCCCCAGTGGCTGGCAGAAAGGGAGAAGGGAACACTGCTTGCGAAGAGATGCTCTCTGCCGGTGGCCTGAAATCTAAACCGACTAAATTCCATAATTCGGAGAGTTTCTGGGTTGAAAAAGCCAACTATTACCTTACAAAACATGAACGCCTATAAAAATAGTAGCTAAGCAGCAGTAGTAGTAGAGATAATGATTTCAAGCTTTCTTAAACTCTTCTAAACCAGATTGGGTGAAATGCCAGCAAAAAATAGATTAAGGAGGGGCGCCTGGGTGGCTCAGTGGGTTAAGCCGCTGCCTTCGGCTCAGGTCATGATCCCAGGGTCCTGGGATCGAGCCCCACATAGGGCTCTCTGCTCGGCGGGGAGCCTGCTTCCTCCTCTCTCTCTGTCTGCCTCTCTGCCTACTTGTGATCTCTGTCTGTCAAATGAATAAATAAAATCTTTAAAAAAAAAAAATAGATTAAGGGTAGTACCTCCCCAGCAGGCTTATTTCAAATTGCAAGTCATGGCCATTCAACTAAGATAGTAATGATATGGACAGAATTCAGACACTAATAGGTAAGATAGAATTTTCAGGCTTATACAGCTGTATTAAGACAATATCTTGGTCTGTGCCTACTCCCTACATGGAGTTACCTAGAAGCAAGTATCTAAGTTTAAATCTACCATTTTTACTATTTGGTCTTTGTCTCATCTGTTCTATGGTCCTTACATTTCATGCCTTCTTTTGGATTAAATATTTTTAACTCTATTCTCTCCCACCAATAAATTATACATTATTTTTATTTTCATAACAGTTCAGTTATTTATTGCTGTGTACAAACCACCCCAAAACTTAGTGATTTAGAATAATAGTTCTTATTTGCCCATGATTCTGGATTCTCTGGCTTAGGAATTCAGGCAGCGCATAGTGCATGTGGCTCAATTCTGCTTGGTGATGCCTAGGGTCTCAACTGGGGTGGTTCAAATAGCTGGGCCTGGCTCATCTAGGGCCATATGTCTTGGGCCTCTGTTCTGGCTATTGGCTGGACTCCCTAGTTTTTCTCTGTAAGCCTTGTCCTCAGGATTCATTTGGGCTTCCTCACAGCATGATAATCTTAGGATTCCAAGAGGAAGCAGTCCAAGAGGACAAGCCTCAATATGCAAGCTTTTGCTTACATCATGCTTGTTAATGTGTCCGTCACCAGAACAAGGCACATGACAAGCTCAGCATCTACGTGGGAGGGACCCATAGGAGACCATGAATACAAGTATGAGAAGGTGTGGTTCAATGGGGGTCACTTGGACTAAGGGTAGACCACCTTATTCCAGGGATTAATAGTTAAAAGTTACTAGTTAAAAGTTACTTCCAGAGTGTAGCCCTTTGGAATTCCAGTTTAAAGTCTTTCTTTCTTAGGCCCTGAACACAAATTTTTCACCTTCCATTCCCTACCCATGTCTCTTGAGGCAGTTGAAAACTCTAGCTAGTTCTCAGCTTTTCCACTATGACTTTCAGAATGTCAATTGCCCCAAAGAGAAAAATGGCACCTTCTGGACTCACGACTCTTGGATCTAGCTGCTCAGACTGTTAAAGTTTTACTACTCCAGAGGTATTTTCTACAGGGTCCAATTCAAATGTGACCCCTGGAAGAAACGGAATTGGAAGGTCCTCCTATAGAACAGAATCAGGAACTGACAGATTAACTGACCAAGGGCATACATTTCTAGTTATCCAACAGGATTGGAGATGTTCTATGGACCAGTGACCAAGGGCATACATTTCTAGTTATCCAACAGGATTGGAGATGTTCTATGGACCAGTGACCACTGTGTGTTTCTCATTTTCCCCTTTCCTGAATGGGACTTTTACCAATATCCTGTACTTTGCCTATCTACCATTATTTTAGGAATATTGAGGCAAAAAACTTTTCTTTAAAAGTTGGTTGCCCCAGCATGAAGAGCCACACTGTTGTTGGGAGTACTCCGTATCATTGGAACTTCTAGATCCTGGCCTCTGAGCTCATTATAGTAACTGGATGTGAGACTCTGAGATTGTTCCTCTTAGGGAGGAGATGAATGTATTCCTTGTATGAGAAGGGGCAGCAGATACTACTTATTCTTGAAGCTGCTATGGTAGTCCTAGACTGTCTACCCTGGAATTCATTGTAACCCCAATTTAGGTTGTTTTCTGTTATGTATAGCTAGACATGTTCTTAGCTAATAAACTAATACATAAACTATGATAGTTATCTTCTAACTGGTTTTCTTGCTTGCAAACTCCACCAGTTAGATAGCAACATAACCATATGTCAGAAATATGAGCTGTCAAAGTAATACATCAAGTCCTATAACATTTCCTGACAATTTCACAGGTATACCAAATGCTATGATTAAGAAATATAGGTCTATTAAAGAAAAAAGAAGTACAGAGGAGACATAAGAAACATAAGACATAAGACAAAAGAATCTTTTGCAGCCATCAAAAGAAATGAAATCTTGCCATTTGCAACTATATGGATGGAACTAGAGGGTATTATGCGGAGTGAGATAAGTCAATCAGAGAAAGACAATTTTCATATAATCTCTCTGTTATGAGGAATTGGACCGCAAGGGGGGGGGGGGGTTGTGGAGGGTAGGGAATGAAAAAATGAAACAAGATGGGATCGGGAGGGAGACAATCCGTAAGAGACTCTTAATCTCACAAAACAAACAGAGGGTTGCTGGGGGGTGAGGGGGTTAGGGATAGAGTGGCTGGGTTATGGACATTGGGGAGGGTATGTGCTATGGTGAGTGCTGTGAATTGTGTAAGCCTGATGATTTACAGATCTGTACCCCTGGGGCAAATAGTACATTATATGTTAATAATATATATATATATATATATATATATATATATATATATATATATATGCTACTAGAAAAAAAATACCCATAGTTGAACCTTCTAAAGTCCCATTTTAACACTTTGCTACAGTTGTGTTTGGTCTTATTTTATTCAAAGGGTTTTTTCCCCCCTTATTGTTATAAGATTATTGTATATTCATATTTTTAACCCTATATTATAAGCAGCTTTCCATGTTAGCACAATCTTTTAAACAAATAGTCATCTAATATTCCAAGTAACTATGATGTTTTACCTCACTGGTTCTTTGTCATAGAACTTGTCAATTCACTTAAAAAAAATTTAGGGGCTCCTGGGTGGCTCAGTCCTTAAGCATCTGCCTTTGGCTCAGGTCATAATCCCAGAGTCCTGGGATTGGACCCTGCAGAGGGCTCCGTGCTTAGCAGAAAGCTTGCTTCTCCCTCTTCCACTCCCCATGTTTATGTTCCCTCTCTTGCTGTGTCTCTTTCTGTGAAATAAATAAATAAAATCTTAAAAATAAATTAATTAATTTAAAAAAATTATTCACTGAGTATATATCATATTCAAGTTCCTGAATTAAATATTGTAAGAAAACATACATGAATAAGTGGCTCCTCTCTGAATACTCTTTAAAACTACAAAAGGCACAAACTTATACCTGGCAACATAAATGCTGGGGCACCTGGGTGTCTCAGAGGGTTAAGCCTCTGCCTTCAGCTCAGGTCATGATCTCAGGGTCCTGGGATTAAGCCCTACATCGGGCTCTCTGCTCAGCACGGAGCCTGCTTCCCCCTCTCTCTCTCTGCCTGCCTCTCTCCTTACTTGTGATCTCTCTCTCTGTGTCAAATAAACAAAAGAAATCTAAGAATACATAAGTAAATAAATAAATGCCATATGTAGTGTATACTTTCTATATATGGCCCTAAGCCATTTAATTATTTTTAAATATAGCATTAAAATATTTTAATTTCCTTTCCATGTATTCCTTTTGTCAGTAATTTCTTTTCCTTGTCTGTTGGATTTGCCTTGGCACGGCTGGTCAGTTTGGTAGAGTACTTTCAATGAACAATTTTTTCGTATAAAAGCCAAAACTACTCCCTTGAAATTTCAAGTGACCACAGACTTCCCATTTTCATTAGCATAATACATGCTATGAAGTATAAGTATCAATATGTTGTTTTCT